GTGTTTCTAAATGCTTGATGAGATGCTAGTGTTCTCCTCACTACATTACAATGCAAATGTCATAGGTTTTGAGGACTGAGGATGTTAAGAGTGAAAATATGACCATGACCATGAACATGTTTTGGTTTGATGATAAAGGAGATAAAGTTCATATTAAGCTCTCAACTAGTTATAGATTTTGCAAAAATGCTACGATGGCAGTAATTAAAAAAATATATATAATAAAAGATTTATAACAAACATGATTAAATGGTGTCTATGATCAATTTACAATTAACACCAAAGTAAGCAATAATTAAGTTAATAGGACAAAGACAGCAAGAATGCTTTTGAAATTTAAAATAAAAAATAACTTCCTTTATTTGATACTTATCGAAATGGGAAATTTTATTTCAAAAGAATTAAGATTCATATGCATGATACTTTTTGTACATTTTTCCTTTAATAAAACATTTCAACTTATTGACAAATTTTGTACATTTTCTGAAATTTTGTTTTAAAAGCGTATATGTTGCCCCATAAAAGCACTACTGACTCAGTGGAGTCTAGTAACTGGTGTTACGAGCTTATGTTTGTTCCTATTGTTTAAAGTATAAACATCTTTATTCTTATGAAAGCTATTTGTGTTTTTATGCACATACATTACATTTTCGTAAATATATTGCTATGCCAAAGTTAATAAAACATCTAACACACCCTTAAAATAAAACAACAATATAATGACAATTACAACAAATTATTTAAATTCTGTGGTATCCTGCCAATCGAAGAAAAATTAAAACTTACTTTACTTGTAGAACAGTTCTTTAATACAAAATTACAAGTCATACCGACGTACAAACACCAGCTTAGAAGTATATATAACCCTAAATTAATTATAGCTAAAACACATAATATGTATGGCGGTCATCAAAATAAGATTATTATTCCTAAATTAATTAATAAACTACCTAAAACCTTAAAGGAAAATATCAATCCCAAAAATATTAAATACAAATTAAAAACATACTTTTTGAATCAACTAACTTAAATATAACTAAAAACTAACATACTATTTGTAATATAATTACCATATATCACAAAAATATGAAAAACAAACACTCCAAACAGCCTGTATACTACTCTAACTAGCCACTACAACTCATTCTAATGTTAGATTTATAGTAACGAGCGAACCTTAACTCTAAATAATATTAAAATATTTGCGCTCGAAAGACGGCGAACTGCAGTGTGCAGGAAAATCTATATAGGTTTATGTTGCACTGTACTTATGAACTTTGTTTAGTATGTATTTTAGTTGTTGTAAAATAAAAAATAAAATAAATAATACATTTATTTCTTTAAATTTTTCACTACGCGACTCTTTACAATTTAAGACATAAATTGAACGTACGGCTCTCTTTTAAAAAACAAATATGGCTTCAATGTCAGTCGCATGACTCTAGTAGTAATACCAAGAAAAACTGCTTTCCCAATCCATTTAAGAGCACATTAATTATTGAATCCTCTCCAAAGGTTTGCTCCTTTTCCATAATTTCAAGAATTAGTATTAATTAATTGTTAATAGTGGTACATCTTTAACTTAATATAAAAAGATACATTTTGTAGCAGCATTATTAATCTTTAAAGCCCACTATACCATTGTACATGTGTAAATCAATATATTTTTTTTACAAAATCAGCATTTTATATATGTATTATAACATACTCATACATAATACAACCTCACAAACCATTTGCGAAATTATAATCAATCTAATAAATTGTGGAAGGTACCATATAATCACATAAAGCAACAAAAATAATACTAAGAAATAATATTTCAATAAAACTGAAATCGTTGCCTATGCACACCCACATATTCCTGAATGTGCAGTTAGTACAGTATAATATGAATATCGTGGACGATGGTACAATTTCGAAGACAAATTGTTTGGCCACGTCGATAAAAACAAAAAAAGCCTTAAAAGATATATATTCTTAAGTAAATTGTTCACTTTTTACTCAAAACGGACATTAAAAATGTCCTTAAATAAATACTAATTAAGCCAGGCATAAACTCATTTATATTTAAGCAAATGAAAGACTTGAGCATGGCAGAGTGCTTGTGTTTCTTAATGCTCGATGAGATGCTAGTGTTCTCTTCACTACATTACAATGCAAATGTCAGGTTTTGAAGACTGAGGATGTTAAGAGTGAAAATATGATGAACATGTTTTGGTTTGATGATAAAGGAGATAAAGTTCATATTAAGCTTTCAACTAGTTATAGATTTTGCAAAAATGCTACGATGGCAGTAATTAAAAAATATATATAATAAAAGATTTATAACAAACATGATTAAATGTTGTCTATGATCAATTTACAATTAACACCAAAGTAAGCAATAATTAAGTTAATAGGACAAAGACAGCAAGAATGCTTTTGAAATTTAAAATAAAAAATAATTCTCTTTATTTGATACTTACACTTATCGAAAGGGGGAAATTTTATTTCAAAAGAATTAAGATTTATACGCATGACATAGTAAGCTGCGAAATGGGAGCATTTATAATTGCTCTTAGATAGTGATGTGGGAGAAAATGAACTACCGGATGATGCATAAGTAAGCTGACATATACCTAAGTTCTCACAATTTGCCCCCAAGGAATGTGTTGAACTCAAATTATTAACAAGTAATGTTTTATAAATACTTTGAAATTGTAGACACGTAGGATTGTTGTTTCTAGCCCCGTGGCTTCTTACTGAGGAGAAAAAGTTTTCCAAGGGATCTTGGTTAAAATTACACATCAATATACTCTTTACATTGTATTTGTCAAATAAATATTGCAACAAACCTTTTATAGTGTCAATGTTATGTATCCAATTTTTTATTGATGGAACTTGTTCATAACTTACAGATGATGTAGCACTACCTCTTTTTTATCTCCGTTTTGAATCTCATTGACCTTAAAACTGGTAGAACTTTATTCCATAGTGCAAAGTGATCTGAATTTGGTTTTACACAATTTTTATAAATCTTATATGTTTTCTTATAAGAACCTCCATTAAAAGAATCAAACAATTGATCAAACAGGAGAAGTATATCTGCCGTATCTTCACATTCTTGTGGCAGCAACTTATTTTCTGCAAAGAAATAAAATGTTATGAGCACTTTTCAAATAATAAGCAATAAAATGTTTGACGTAAGAGTTAATACAAGTAAATAAGCGATAAAGAGATATCTTACAAAAAATAATTTCAACGTTGAATATTAATTAACAAATTATATATACGTACTTGCACAAAATCGTAAAGCTCCTGATACTCGTTGGCTAAAAACTTGAGCTGCATGTTTCACCTTCATTTTGGGAATTTTTTCAGGCATAACATGCATTTCTGTAAGCTTATTACACATTCTTAACTCATCTTCTCCTGCATCAATTTCCAACAGTAATTTTAAATGTTGCCATTTTGCTATTTTTACTTGGTCGTTCTGGACATACCTTAAGTCCTTTGATATTAAATTATTCCTCACACCTTTTAATAAATGTGGAGGGTCGAATAACGGGAATATATGATGATTTTCTATTTGAAAAGCATTGCTCCTGTGTTCTCTACCCAGTCTCAAATATTCTGCATTTGTCTCTCTTAATAATTCATTTACTACCTTTGTGTTAATTGTTGATTGGTCACACACAGTTGCAACAACAATTAACCCTGCCTGAAATATTTCTTTGATGATACTCTTTATTAGTTTTTTAAGAGCTGTTGCATTTGTGGCACTTTTGCAAAAAGCAAAGCAAATAGGTTGCTTATATTGAATTTTTACACCCTTTAACATAAACACTAAAACATGATCAGCAATATTATCATTCTGATCATTTTCACCAAAATCTTCAAAGCCGACTATTTGATCTAAAGCTTTATTATACTGTAGTGATGGTGAAAGCGACATCTCATCAAACATTAACAAGCATAAGCGTTCTTCCGTATTAAATTTTTGTGCTGCATCTTTTATTTGACGGAATACTATTGGGTTTAGACCTGCTTTCAAAGTTATTTTTTTAAGTACATCCTGCAATGTCCTCTTTGAGGGCAAGGTAAATAATTTTCTAAGAAAATTATAGCCTTTGGGACTTCTTTCATAAATCGACAAAGCTAATAATTTTTCTTCAATATTAAAACGCCTTCCACGGTCTCTTTTATTATGCTGAGTTAATTGCATATTTAGCAATGTCTGAGCAGGCTTTGATAATGATTTCAGAATCTTTTGAAATAATTTTGTCTTTGACATTTTTTCTGCTGCTGTTATTTGACTTTTTTGGTCTTTTATTTTTTTCTTTAATAACAAGATTTTATTTATTAATTTATTAATTTTTCACCCATACGTTTTCTTTTAATCAATGTACCTGAAAAAAGTATGACAAAATGTAAGCATATAGAGATCAGACGAAATAATGACAGCATAGTTCAGATTGTATTGGAATCTCCTTTTAATGAAAGATTTTTAATAGCAAATTCTGCCTTATAATTATATACAGTAGAAACTCGATTATCTGGCCCTCAGTTATAGTTGTTTTAGTTAGCTAGCAATTGTTACTCCGCTCTGACGTACGTGTCTAGTCGAAATATTTAAAAATGTCATAGCGTAAGAGAGTGGTGTTATCACTTAAAGACAAAATAAATATTATTGATTCATTAAAAAAGGGAGAAACTGGTCGTAAGTTAGCTGATAAGTATGGTGTAGGTACATCCACAATAAGTGATATTAAGAAAAATGCTGATTCAATTTGGTTGTACACTTGCAAATTAGATAGTGAAGACGAAAACGAACTTTTAGAAGACGCTTTGTATTGTTGGTTTTTACAAAAACGATCGACTGGGCAACCGATATCTGGCCCTTTGCTCTGTGAAAAAGCATTACAGTTAAATAAAAAAATATATAAATCGTAAAAAAGATATTGCAGATAAATGAACAGCAAGAAATGCAAGAAGATTAAAAAGAAGAAAATATAGACATGGAAAATGATGCAGGAACATCTCATGATGAAGCACTTCAGGCCCTGGAAACGGCTCTCAAGTGGTTTGTAAAACAAACAGAGAGTGATACTGCGAGTTTACTTAAGCTCAAACGAATTCGTGATATAGCAGCAATAAAGAGAAAAATGGCTTACGTCAAATGACAATTACCAAATATTTTAAACGAAATTAAACTTATTATTTTATTTCATAATTACGAAATACAAATTACCAAATACACATTCTAAACAAGTTATACGTACATACGTATCTATATATTTTATTTCATAATTAAAGCTGCAGTATTTTTGTATGTATGTGTGTAATCTAAGAAAATATGTACGTACACAAATAAGTGCATACATTGTATATTGAAAAATGTATCTCTTAATAATTTCTTAATAAACATTGATTTTCGTTGATATTGTTGTTTTTAATTAACACATAACATTATGTATGTACATATGTACTACAAATGCACAAAACCCGCTTTTCTTCATACATTCGATTATCCGGATTTTCGATTTTCCGAATCCCTAACGGCAACAATTAGTCCAGTTAATCGAGTTTCCACTATAATGTATATAATGCAATATGCTGTTAGAATGCTTTTGGAGCAGGCGCGGTGCTGTAGTGTGCACAGTCCAATAAAGTAGCATTCCTAGTGCATGGCTTGCGGACCAGTGATAACAAAATTTTTAAGTTATATCAGCAAGAGTTTTAACCGCTTTATCAGAGTCCTAGTTACTTCAGATGCAATGAACGCAAGGTACAACCATTTCGGTCAGCTGCGTACCCCACATGTTTTTTACCTTTTGCGTTGTGAGCCAAGTTTAGATAATTAGCCTTTTTACTTGTTTCGTCTATGAAAATATACTTCGTCGTACTTATTATTATAGTAAATTCCAACCACTACATCTTTAACTTATCTCAAACTTACTGGTATAGTAATAGAATATATGTACTTACAGTAATTAAGACTTTATTAATATTATACTACCACCAGAGAATTTTCTGGACCGATACAACTTGGGACCTTCAAGAAAAGAGCCTACTTTATTTTTTAAAGGCAGGCAATGCATCTACAATTCCCATGGTGTTGTAGTCCTTCATGGGCGGCTGTAGTCACTAACCATCAGGTGAGCCGCATGCTCGTTTCCTCCCCCCTATAATTTAAAATAAAAAAGAAATTCAATACCTTTTATACGATTATCACGTGAACTTGTATCAGGAATTGATGAAGGAAGTACATCCGGTATACATGGTCCTGATGTTTCTGCATTTAAACCTGTAATAGTAGTGAAAGTATATGAGTAACACATAAAACTCTCTTTATTGGGCTCTTCTTACTTCGCCGTCAAGAATTGAAATTGCTCACAGTTAAGCAACTCCCATTCATTGAAGACATAATGCTTAGCAGTGAACTATAGCCATAGCAGCGATTACAAAAGATCTTTTAGATTGCAGTGATAATAGTCTTTCTAGACCTGCATAGCAGCTCGCGCAAAAAATCTATGCAGTTTGAATCTACAGATTTACTAAAGGTTACTAAAGGTATTGTTTGAAAATTTTGTCTGAATTTTGAAACAGTATCCAGCCTTTTCATCTGCTCTAATAACAGATAGATCCAATTCTAAAGCCAGCTGATCCCGAAGGAAGAAAATATTATTAGTGTACAAAGCCATAGATGAGACACCGACTGATCCTAAAGAATTGTTTAAAAGGAATGTTTTTACCTTGTGATTGATACTATTAAAAGTGTGTTGGTTACTTGACTTAAACTATCAAAATTCTATGATATGTGTTCATTTTTATACAAAATGAAAATAATTCCTGAAAGATCAAAATGCCTGTGTTGATTTGTAACAGATGGGCATAATGTGATTTGTCTCGTTGTAAATTGGTTCAGGAACTTATGAGCTTGAACCCATTATTTAAAGATCTTTAATCAGCAGAGCCACATAAAGTTCTCAGACTTATTAAAAATAATGATTGGCAGGATATTTTTTTTCAAAAGACAGACAGTACTTTGTATCATGCTGACTATACCTGTACTATTACTGTCGCTAAATGGAAACATACTTATATTACATTAAAACAATTAAAATTTACCTATGTTTCTACTATGTGTCAGGAAAGACTGTCATATCTTGGAATCTTTTCCATAGAAAATTCTATTGCTATAATAAATATAAACCAGAAAGCTGGCTATCTAGACTTTTCATTAAGTTTGTTGTTGGAAGTTCAGTTAGTTTATCTTTTTTGACACTGTCTGCAGAACAACAGTTTAAATAAAAGTTGTCAAACAAGATTATTAACTCTTATTATGGGAAATAATCTGTACAACTAGTCAACGTAGCAAGGCAAGCATAGTGCCATTGTCGTGAGCAACAATAACAGCAATGCAAATAAGTAGAACAATTGCTATGGCAAGAGCAACAGACACAACTGTGCTTAAACATATACACCTGTAGATATTTGATACATCTAATACTATTTAAAATCACGTCATAGTAGAGGAACACTAAGGTTTTGTATTTAGAGGGGTGTCACTATGAGATCCCGCTCCACCTAAAAATTTTGTTAGGGCCGCCACTGTAAGGCTTTATAACCACTTACCACTGGGTGGGGTTGTAGTAGTTATTGTAGGCAAGCTATACACTGATATACCAATAATAAGTAAAAACTAAAAGTTTGTTTGATCATCTTTACGAATATTACAACTGTTATATTCTTTAGTCTGCACTGTTAAAACAATTGCTAGTTAAATTGACAGTGAAAAAACTTTTATTAAGAGTTACCAAGGTTAAGACTGGGGTATGCTGTTTTAGCAAGTCTTTTGGTCCGAGGATATATAAAATGATCTTCGAAGTGCCGATTACAAATACGGTAATTATCATAACACACTCCTTCCGTGACATTTTTAAAAAGATTAAATATAAAAAAACTCAAATAGATCACAAACTTATTAAAATAAAACACATAAATGCACGAGAAATCGGAATAATATCAAATAGATATTGATATTAAATTAAGCCTTACTACCAGTAACCGCCATTAAACTGCGTAGTGCACCGCGCATAGAACATGGATGGCTTCCTATATAGACCTAAAATATATATATGTGCCCTCTAGTTCGATAAAAGTAAGTCTTAGTTTACGTGCCCCACACGAAAGATGGCAGCACAAAAAGATATCAATTTGTTCTCAAAATAATGTTCTAAGTTGCATGCCCATGCTTCCCTGATATGAAATCTGTCAAACATTTTTTTTATTTTATTTTATGTACACACATTAAGGTACAGAAGCAGTCTTATAGTAATTACGTACAAAGGTTCTACATATTCCAAATTCGCTGAAATATCTTCCAGTAGACCCATAAAGGAAATTATATTTAAATTGCAAACTTAGTGCATACATTAGTACTACTAAAAACAGCACAATTATATTTACAGGAAAAAAAAAACAAATAGAATTGGACATAACCAATGGATAATATTATTAAATGGTTGACATTAAATAATTTAAATATAAATTTGGATAGAATTAAATTAATGACTTTTTGAAACAGAGTTCACAAATAAATGTTCACTATACACAAACAAAAATTGAACAAGTAAAGACAGAAAGCTCGTGGGATTGAACATTGATTCTCAACTAAAGTGGAAGTCATAGATTACTGTACAGAAATGTTGTGCTCGAAATTTATTCAGTATTTATAAGCGATCTACATGTTGTCCAAAACTGCCAGTACATTCACTGTTAATGGCTTACTTATGCTTTGGAGCAACTTTGTAGAAAAAGAGTTGGTCTTTAAGCGGGCTACATACGACACGATATCGGTGGCGATCTAGGGTGGAAAGAAATCGGGGCTTTTATCGGGGTAGACCTTACACACGGGCCTGCCTAGCAGTACGCGTTCGGACTTGGAGCGGAATGCATATGCGGTAGAGTTCTTCAAAATACCTCCGACTCTCTTAAAACACCACCGTGTTGGTTTGGCATTAGCCATATCGGTTAATTTATTCGAAAATAGAAAAAGAGAAGTTGCTGGGTGAAAAAATGGCTCCAAAAGAGATAAAAATTAAGCCACATAAACGTACTAAATGGCCTGTAATCCAAGGACGTGATTAATTTTCTCCGGATGGATGAAGACAGTTTTTATAACCTTCTAGAAATGATTTCGCCACTTATATAAAAACGTCAATTTCTCCTATTTAGTTATTTCTTCTCTTTGTTCATTTCTGCTTTGGTCAAAATCTGGTTATGTATTACACACAATAAACAAGGAAATAAAATACTTTTGTATAATAATATGTATACTTTTTTTTTAATGTAATCTTTATTTATGGAGTAAAACTATCAGAAAATAAAATAGCTTATATCTTTTTTTTAAACATAAAGAAACCTTTAATTTCGGACATACTCCCTTTTATATAACTTGTTTGTTGATGTGGAGATGGTGAAGGAGTAGAAGTTAGTTGTTGATAAGAGGATGAAGGCACGTAAGAGATCGAAGTTGTAAGAGATATGAGTGCGGTCTTGTGTTGATAGCGTTGGAATAGGAGTTAGTTGTTGAGGAGAGGCTTTATCTCCTTACTTACATCATACACTCTACTTTACGAACGGCAATAAAAATATTAGTTTAGTAGGCATTCTTGACCATGTCACTTCGCAGGGTCACAGGCTAGGGTGGATATGATTTGAATTTCGATAAAATTTCAATTAATTTATTTATTTTATTCACTTTTTTTTATGTTTTTTGTAAAATATCAGTGCCATAGGCTTCTACTCCGTTTATATGATTAAAATGTAAAAATTTTGTTATATAAAAAAAGGTCATTCAGTATCACTATTTTGTTAACTTCCTTCCGCGAGGGTTGCCGGCAGCGACTGCCAAAAGAAATCGGGCCGATGCGCCTACACACACGCAGTAAGGAGGGGGCGGTGCCCCGATCTAGGAAGCATCGGCTGATCTAGGAAGCATTTTTGCTCCTGCCAGCCGATTAAGGAGGCGATATCGGCCACGACTTAGGATGGCCCTACATACGACACGATTTAGAG